GTAGCCCTCGCTGTGGCGGGATTCCGGGACTGAGACAAGTAAACGAAGGGATCGATGAAGGAGAATCGCAGCACAAATTACCTTTCTACTTGAATCTCTGGATCTCTCCTCCCAGCGTTCTGCTGGCCCTCTCCATTGATCTCCTTTTTGCTGTTTTTGATGAGACGCAGCACCGGTTCAATCTCCTTAAGGAGGTCATTGTTTTCCTCCAGCCCGTTGCACAGAAGAGCTCCACGGACCCCATCCTGGCCCTGCACACCTCCCTTCTGCAGGATGGATGGAGACGAGAGGTTCTCGATGGCCCTGAGCTGGACCTCCTTGTTGACTTGCTGCCCTGGGCTGTGTGCGCTGATCGGAGACCAGTGATCGTAGGACTTGGAGAGTGGGAGGGCGGGCTGAGTGATCCTCACTGTGCGCTGGCGGCCATCTCTGGATATGGTGGTCTCCAAGTGGGTGGTGTAGCCTTCAGGCCCACGCAGGATGAGCACGGCGTGACTCTCCGGCAGCACGTTCTTCAGTGTCTCCAGAGCTCGTTCATAAGAAAGGTCCACCAGGGGCTTGTTGTTGACAGCCAGGACGATGTCGCCCACCTGCACCAGGCCGCACTCTTCTGCTGCACCGCCGCGAATGAGGTCTGACACAATGACAGGTGGCTTGGACACCCTCTGCTTCACCAGGAAACCCAATCCGCCAACCTTCCTTTTGAAAAGACGCACTGAGATGATGTTGGGCTGCAGCTGGCACACTGTGGGCTCCGACTCCTGCATCATGCCTGCGTGTGACTGAATGTGCTTGCGAGCGCGTTTACTTCCAGGGATTTTCCTGAAAAGGAAAACACAAGCAGCCTTAAGGAGGAAATTGGTTCCTTTTTTCTAAACAAAGTTCTAGTTATTTGATCAGATTTGTTTTTGAATTGAATTGATTAACTTGGATTTGATGTGGAGGGACAGTGTGCATTAATAAACATTTTACAATGTAAACGTACCCAATTATAGCCAAAAGGCTAATTTCCATTGGTAGTCCCCCCGCCGAATGGCACATCGTATAAAACAACATTTAAAGTCATAAACATTTAAAAAAACAATACAAGTAAAACAACATTACATAGAGTACCCCCCCCCCCCCCCACACACACACACACACACATAATCAATCATCTTCACTCTAACAATAACACTTATACATTGGTTCTTAAAACCAGTGCTGACAAATTTGAGTGTCAATCAACCGTTTCTTTTACTGTATTTTAAATGTGCTGCATGTGACAGAGTCTCGTGTGTTTTCCAGACTCCAGCCGCCTCACAGGTGAAAACTGATTGTCCAAAGGAACTTTTCCGGCATGGTACCACACAATCCCCTCTAGCAGCCCCTCGAGTAACGCGTGTTACATGTGATCGAAATTCTACAAGACTACAAAGAGGAGGTGGAGCTGAGCTGTTTTTGATCTTGTGCAGAAGACAACAGTTTTTAAAAATGACAAGATTGCTCCAGTTTAGGAGCCTATATTTATTAAGGATTGTGCAATGATGAAAGGATCTTGTTTTTTATCTAGAATTTTGATAGCTTGTTTATATAAAGATGTTAACCTACTTAAAGTGGTGAAGTTTGCAGAGGCACAAGCAGGTAAACAATCATTTATGTGAGATTTACAAGATCAAACATGTCCATTTTTGCAGCTTTTGTTGACGTACGATTTCTGAGGTGCTTAAAATTTACGAGTGTGGAATTTATACATTTGGTTACTTTTCTAACATGTTGTTTAAAAGTCAAGTTACTGTCTAAAATAATACCTAGATATTTGTATTCATTTACATTTTGAATCCTCTCTCCAGAAATAACAACATTAGGTCTGTATAAAATTTTTTTGTGTTTTAGTAAAAAATATTGCAACAGTTATGTGTAAACGACAGCTATTCAACCAGTTTGAGACATTTACCATGACCTTTGTAAGTTGTGCAGCTGCCTCAAAATGATCATCACCTTTAACAAAAATCACCGTGTCATCTGCATACATAAGCACTTCACAACCATGACACACAGATGGTAGGTCGTTAATGTAAAGACTGAATAGAAATTGGACCCAAGATTGAGCCCTGTGGTACACCTGTAACAAGATCTTTAAAAGAAGGTCTGTTAGTTTTGACACGCTGAGTTCAGTTAGTGAGATATGATTTGAACCAGCTGCACGTAAATTGTGAAAAATTGAACTGAACAAATTTAGACTGGAGGATATCGTGGTTTACAGCGTCAAACGCTTTTCGTAGATCTAAAAAAACTGCACCAACCACCCCTCTTCTGTCTATCATAGACTTAACCCTTTCAACAAAGTAAACAGTTGCTGTTTCTGTTGAGTGATGTGCCCTAAAGCCAGACCATTAGTTACTAATTAGTGACATCTAAAACCTACTTTCACATCAACATTGTTTCAGATTAGACCTGAAATGGACCAGATGTGTTTCAAAATCTTGTTCAAACGTAATTTTTTTGGCACAAAAAGTGGAAATCCATCAGCAAGTGTGAATTTAGAAAGCTGTGTTTATGAAAAACTACATTTTCTTTTCTTTTGATGATCGAAGTCAGGAGTGGGGAACCCTGGTCCTCGAGGGCCGGTATCCTGCATGTCTTTGATCCCACACTTCTGATTCAGTGGTCTGTTCTGCAGCTCATCAGGCTCCACAGAAGCTTGTCAATCACCTGCTGATTGATATCAGGTGTAATGATGCAGGATTGAAACTAAAGTATGCTGGATAGTGGCCCTCGGTGGACCAGGGCTCCCCACCAGGCTCATTCTAGAAGGTTTAAACACAGAAGACCAGACTTATTTAGGTTAGGAGACATCTTCTTATTCGATGAACTTGAAACTTTTCAAAAAAATCCAGCTGAGCATGTAAACACTGATGGCCTTGTGTCATGTAATGAGGTGGAAGCTTACCAAGGAGGCAGGACGCCGAGTTAGAAACATGATTTCTATAATGAAAACTAAAGGCTGACAAGGAAGCAAGAAACAAAGCATGAAGAAAAACAAATGGAGGGGAACAGAAAGGAGGAGAGCAGAAAACAGCTGATTACAAGGGCAAACAGCTGGGCTCATTAAATAATGCTGAACAGGTGGAGAAAGCCGAAAACAAGAGAGAACTGAGGGAAACTGGAGGCAAGGACAAACGGAGCAAGACTAAAGAGAACAAAGAAAATGTGACAGACCATTGAGTAAAAACAGAAAAACTCAAGAATGAAATCAACAGAATTATGAAGAATTGATGTATTTTGCTGGTTTGAGTGAAGAATTGAAGAGATTTTAAGGTTTGTTTTCTTCCTCTTACTTCAAGTTGTTTTCAAATGCATTTTATAAGAATGAACACAAGTTCTGGTTATTTCTAATGAATCGTGTTGCACTTTTTGAAAGTGGACTCTGTAACATATCACAACAATAACAGTAAATGTATGAGAGCACAGCAGATCCTCCCCCGCTGCTCCAGCCGTCCTACGCGCAATAAATGAACTTAGCAATAACGCCTGTCGCCACGCTCGTGTTTCCTTATTTTCTTTGATGCAAAACCACTTATCAGGTCAGTTGTTCTTTTAAATCGCTGCATCTCTCCGTGTGGGTGGCGTTGCTGAGAATGTGGGGAAGTGCAGCGAGCCTCTGAACAGGAGAGCCGCGGCGCGCGCAGCGCAGCGCGGGAGGTTCGCGCTCTCTGCGCGCAGCGGGAGGATTTCAGCACCATGGTCAGCGCCCGGCTCCACTGCACCTGAAAGCTGCTCATCCTCGCGCCGCAGCTTCTTTCCATCTCACATCATCCCGAAGTATTCTGAGGAGTTTCTCCGGTCCTCCCCGCAACAAGGATTCAGACATCGCCCTCCCCAGCCTGAACACATCAAACCAATTTCTCCAGAAACGTCATTTACTCGCTTTGTGGCCACACATTCCCTGGGAATAGAGAAATCAAACATCAGAGCCCATGGCTTTGGGGTAAAGTGGCGCTCATTCATGCAAACGAGTGAAAACTGCAATAAGTTATTCTGGCGGTCCCTTAAATCCCCCAGATGTGCAGCTGCTCCCCACCGATAAAAGAAATGACCAGACTGGGGTGAGGAAACGGAAGTGTGCGCTGCATGTTGAGCTGAGGGTGCTTTCTGGGAATACCGATGTGTCTGACATGGATACGACTATCCTATTGCAAGTATGATGATGATGATGATGAGTGAGTGAGTGAGTGAGTGAGTGAGTGAGTGAGTGAGTGAGTGAGTGAGTGAGTGAGTGAGTGAGTGAGATTATTGTTGTACGTGATTAACTCTCAAGTTGTTTAGATACATTGATCAGTTTTTATTGCAGCAGCTAAAGATTTAATCTCTGCAGATTAATTATTTTTGTGTTTCCTTCTCAGCTGTTATGGCAGTTATCTCTGTGCATGTTCGTGAGCCAAAGGTCACTTTATTTTGAAAGTTTCTGCTTATTTTCAAATAGTTTTGCCGTAAGAACCCATTTTCTGTGTTTGTGTCATGTTAACCAACAGGATCACGAGAAAAGAGGACGAACAACGTGGGGGCAGGGAACCGAAGGGATAAACAATAATGACTAAATGTGAGGTGAAAACGAAGGCCGAGCAGCTGTTTTTCTCTCGGATGTATCATGTCATCCGTTAATCAGATGCGATGCGTTTCATTTGTGAGCAACAGGATTAAAGAAAGCAGTGCAAAGTTTCAGATCTCCTTCTTCCCCTGAGCAGATTTCACTGAGAACTCGCAGGCTGCACAGAAACCACAGATTTTTTTTTTTTGTGAGACAAAAAAATCTGCGTGCTATCTTCCAAAAGCAAGACATCTGAGAAACAAAAGACACAATTTCTCTAAATTTATATCCACAAAATCAGGCATGTCTCATAAAATAAAATAGCTGTTTTAAATGTCGCACTCTCCTCTTGCATAAATGTAACCGAGAAAATGCGCAAGACGCTCCTTCTGGCCATGAAATCAGTGATGATTTTCCCTCAGCAACAAGTTCTGCTCACACTTATGAAGGCAGGATTGAGAGAAACACAAGTGATGCAACGAAGATGCGCATTTCCTTTCAGATCCAAACGATTCTGGATCACTTTAGGGACGATTTTTAGTTCCTCGGGCTCGACGTCATCATCCACCGGCGGAATGCGCAGCTGATATTAAAACAGATACCAAGAGAGAAGTAAATAACTATAATTCTGAGAAAATCCAGTAACTTACCCAGGAGAAGGAGGTCTCTGTGGCACCGACCTGCGGCGGTGAAGTTGGGGTGAAACTCCTGCGCGTCTCTGGCTCAGCCGCGGCTGCACAGCTCCGAAAACGCGTCTCCAAGTCGCTGCAGCGCGCTCTGCCTCTCTAGAGACGAGGCATGCTTGTGCCCTTTTCCGTGCACAGCGGCGCGTTATAAACACCGAGTTACGGAAGACTCTGTGACGCGCTGGGAGGGAGCCGTGCGCGCGCATTTACATGAACTACAGGTTGGTTTGTTCGCTTCCGTCATCAGTCAGCAAGCAGTAACCGACTCTCCTCACATTCCGGACTACAGCCTCACGTGAGGCTCCACCGAAAACAGACCGGGGGCCAAAAGCTGGTGACACCACATTTTTGTTTGTCCCTTCATGAGAGAACAACTTTCTGCAAACGCGTCTCAAAAACACGCCACTTCGGTCTTTTTTCAGATTTAAAGTTCTTGCAAACCTGCTTTAACATGCGCAGCTGCGTGCCTTTTATTGTTTATCACACGGGCAGCTATTTTCTTCATGTGAGCATCAAACTAGAATCAACTATACAGCATTTGTTTGTTCAGCCTTTAAAAATTCAAGAGACATTTTATTTATATGTTTTCCAAATACAAGGGGAGTTAAAACGAGGACGAATAAAAGCTGCTGTGGTGAAAATGAAAAGCTTTTCTCTCTCTCTCTGGATTTGATGAAAGTGTCTAAAGATCATCAAACTCTGATGTTTCCTCATGAACACAAATGAAGAAGAAGAATGGTGAATGGTCTGTGATTTATATAGCGAGAGTTCTGGAACCCAATCCCCTACAACACAATCAGTCATTCACACACACACACACACACACACACACACACACACACACACACACACACACACACAGGTGGGGATGAGCTACAATGTAGCCACAGCTTCCCTGGGGAGCACTGACAGTGGCGAGGCTGCCAAGCACAGGCGCCACCGGTCCCTCCGACCACCACCAGCAGGCAAGGTTGGTTAAGTGTCTTGCCCAAGGACACAACGACATCGACAAACTGAGCGGGGATCGAACCTGCAACCTTCTGATTATGGGGCGAGCTCTTAACTCCTATGCCACCCTCACCCCAGAAGAAGTTACAGGAGAAAAAGTTAGTCTCAGAGGCAACAGCTCATGATTGATGATTTATGAGACTGATCTTTGCAAAATCCAGAAAACCAAATAAAGTAGTAATAAACTTGTTTATGCAATACATTTGCAGTGTTCTCTAGTGTAAACCAATGACTTCTGAGTAATAATAAAAAAAATGCTATGATGCTTCTGTTCCGAAATCCAGAAGTTTGCTGGTGCAGAGGTGGGCGGAAAACCGCAGGATTGCTCATTGTTATTAACGATATGTACACACCTGGCTTCTGATTGGCTAACAGAACACATTCAGCCACGTTGCAAAGTCACTATCACCAACACACTCTCCGCTTTCTCTCCTCACAGCAAAGACTTCCTGTGAGCAAGCGGAAGCCAAGATGGGTGAGGTCATGAATGCTAATTCACAGTGTGACATCACAGTGTGAGGATTTCCAAACCCTAGCATTTCAACGTCCAGAAAAAATTTAATAGGTGTAAGAGACGATTTTCATGTTCAACCTGCATGAAAAAGTCAGAGTGACCGATTATAATCAGAAAAAAAACAATTTAAAATGTTATTTCTGTCTGTTTTCAGCCTCTTGTTAAATTTTGTACTTGTTGACTGCACTGGAATTTCCATATTCCTGGTTCTGGAGGGCCGGTATCCAGCATGTTTTAATTGTTTCTCTTCTCCAACAGGCTGAATTTAGTGGTTGAATCACACGTGCAGCAGCTCATCAGGCTCAGCAGATGCCTGTTAATCACCTGCTGAATGAAATCACGTGTTAAAACAGGGTTAAAACTAAAACATGCTGGAGATTGGCCCTCCAGGACCAGGATTGGGAACCTGTGAGCAGGGGCAGATTTAGGACTGAAGAAGATCCGGGGCTTAACACACACACACGCACACACACACGTGACACGCACTAGTCAACATCATATATATATATTTGTCTTGTACCACATAATTTTTAATCTGAAGCTACATATGAAGCATATTCAGGGCAGAGTATAGTTCCTGTTAGTGTTTAGTGTGAGATGATTGTAAATATTCCCTTTCTTTCTCCAACAACTTTACCTGATAGTAAGCTAACTTTAGGCAAACCAGCAGCACAACAAATATTTTCTAATAAGACTCACAAACCTGAGTCAGCACCAGTCTCATCAAAGCTGGGGTTCTGTCGCCGTACTTTTGGTCTAAAAACGTCCTTATGTCCATCTTCACTCATGCGTTTCAGGCAGAGAGTGTAGAAGAAGCCGGCTGCTGAAGGGCTTCTTCTTCAGTGGTGGAGGCTCAGGCAGGCTGTATACAAACTACTGCCAGCAGCGCCCTCTCTGTTGGACTTTGGTACTGCATGTTACTTCCGCGATTTAGATCCGGGGCTTAACGTGAAACATCCGGGGCTTCAGCCCAAGTAGCCGGGCCTAACGCCGCCCCTGCCTGTGAGTCTTCTTCTTCAAAACCTTTGAAATCATGAAAATCAGATCTGAGTTCAGAGTCTATAGTTCAGAATTAAAAAAGCTCCTGGAGTGAAGCTGTGCCACGTTTCTGTGTGCGTTCTGGAAACAGCATGGTTGAAGATCATTGGTGATCCCATTTAGCATCTCTGGTTTTTAATAATCCAACAGCCCCCCCATGCCATGCACTATCATAGCCTTTCAGGCTAAATAAAGAGGCCATCTGTCTTCTTATCAGCACTGACTTCAACAACCAGCAGCCACGATGGCATCAATGTGCTTTATCGAGGATGACATGGGTCATCCGTCTCTGTATGAAATCATCGAGCTACAAATGTTAACATGGTGACAGACTTAGTTTTTTTAGAGACAAACATGTTGATGCTGATCTAATTTGGGTTTAAATCTGCACCTGTCTGAATGAATCTACAGATTTGCTGAAATATGTTTTATTTATCCAGGAGTAAGAAAATATATTTTTCAACAAAACTGATCTCACTGCGCTCCCCAAATCCCAAAAGTTGGCAGGGTGTAAGAAAAGGTGATGCAAGCCAATAGTAAACATGGTTTGTTGTGTTTTCTAGCTTCATTGCACTATTCTATTCTCAAAAATAAACAGGTATAAATAAATAACTGTATTAATGAATGAATGAATGAATGAATGAATGAATGAATGAATGAGCAAGCTGCAAGGTGACACATTTAGGACCACTGTTACCTGTGCATGAATGAAGCGACTCTGGTTTCTTCCCAAAGACCGATAAAATGCATGTTTATGTGTGTCCCTGATGGACTGGAGACATGTCCAGGGTGTCTCAGCTGATCACTCCCAGGGACAGGCTCCCCAGCTCCCCAGCTCCCCACGGCTCACAGCTGATGAAGCAGTTTACATCACAGATGGATGAATAATAATAAATAGGAATTATTTGATAGTTTTGATAACGCTGGCTGTGTTTGGCCCCTCCCACACGTACGTTGCTATGACGTTTGTACAATACCCCGGAGACAACTTTTAACCGTCATCGAACCGCAAAGTTTTCTTTGGTCTACCAACACCTGGACACTCTGCTGCTGTTTTTTGTTCCATAAGTTCTATGTAAAGAAGGTGACGTTGATAAAATCTCTGCTAGTCTCCAGCTTTGTGCAAACTCCGTTGTTGCAACATTCATCCGTTTTTTAAATCCACGCAGGTTTTCTGCACTTTTTTCCCACAGAAAAGTAGTTTGCAAGAAGACAAAACCGCACACAGATGTCTCCCGGCGACACGTTCGGAACATTGTGAAATCGCCTCCATGTTGCCAGACGTTAACTGTTTGTCTCACCACTTGACTTTCTTACACGCTCTGGTATGCAGGTAACAACCTCTTGACAAAGGCAGGTTTTGACATTTGACATTTTACCCCTCTGGAGGCAGGCGGTGCAGATCTGCAACGTTAAAACCCGCCTGCCTGGTTACTCCACATATGTGTTTCATGAGCATTTTTTCTCTGAAGTACCCCTGGAGGACTTAGTTGTTCGTCCTTTTATCACAACTTATTTTGAGCCTGAGAGGGTTAAAAAAGGAATGTTGCCTTCATTTGTCATAAACAAATAAAAACTTTGTGTTTCCTGTCTTGTTTCTGAGATTGCATGAGTTTAAGCTGTTAAACCTGCATAAACAGACATTCAAACCCTGACAATGATCATTTTAATTCCCCCTAACATGGCTCCAGGTCAGAGAGGCTTCCGTTGGGATGTTCCTCCTCACAGCTTCACCCAAGGGTGCAGGTTTCTGTTAGGTTGACACCAGCAAACAGGTTTTCTCTACATTTTTCCCAGTCTGCCGCTTTTACCGGTGGCCACTCCAACATTATCTCGTATGATTGCTCGGGAATTTATTTTCCCTTCAAGCAGCTTTGGGCTCAGCAGCTGTGAAGCTAAAGTCGTATTTCTTCTACAACACGAGCTTGACCTGACATTTTCTCTTTGGTTTGGAGCATCTTTTTGTATCCATAGCGATTTACCATGGTTTCAAAAACACGTAATTTAAAGCGTCATCCTTATATTCACCAATCAAGATATTTCATCTACAGGAATCCCACTTTCTCCTTTCATTTGGATTTATTTCAAATGTCTGAGAAAAGATGGCTTTGATGTTGTGTCAAGCACATTTGAAACCATAGAAAAATAGTCAAGAGCCTTTCTAGTCTTTAAATGTTAAGAATAACTAACTAAACTGAAAACAAACATTATTATGATTTTTGTGGCTTAATTTCTTATTTAATAATAAAATGTTACTTGTGGTTTAATTTTTTTGTTTTTATTTAAGTTGATGTCTTTAGACCAATGTTTCTCTTAACAACGTCGATCTAATCTAACGTTCATTAGATACATTGATAGTCTTTGTGTTTAACGTTGTGTTTTCATGTAGAATACACTGATTTATTACCTACAGAGAAACCTTTATTTTTAACCCTCTGTATCATCAACGTTGACATTATCGCTGCTCAAAATGTGACCACCAGGCTTCAAAATCTCGTCAGTTCTCATCAAACGGATCCGTGCCACCTCTAAATAGAAAAGGCACTGTGGGTATTTTGTATTATTTTACACAACTGAATAAAATGCATTAAAAGCATCACATTTATAAAGAAATACCAGTGAGACAACATGAGAAGTCTTATTGCTTTGTTTCGTCCAGGG